TGAGGCAGGGTTTATGGGACTCAATCTCCAAGAGTGTGCCCACTCTGATCAATGCCCCTTACTGCTATCAGACGGGCCAGGGACAGATATTAAATAACTTTGGATCCCTGGTGTACATGTTGGGGCTTTCAATTCTGCTTCAGTCTTTTTGATTAGGCCAAGAGAAAGTTAGTTTGGTACAAGTTTGTCTTAAATGTCTCTCTAGTAAGTACATGTTAATCTATTCAGTAAAAAGAGTAGTATATCTAACTAGAATTTTTTTCACACTGTTTGCTTTTTAAGGCATTTATTTTTATGGCTACCATCTATTTGTGGCATATGATAAGGATTTTACACTTATGGTAATAATGAAGCTTCTGGTTACAATTCTTTTTTGTACTAAATTGTTTTAACAATTAAAAGTCACGTCTTTTCTATATTTTCCTTCCACTCAAAAATAACTCCTTCCATTTAGGTTCCTTCTGCTCCCCCCTCCCCTGTCTTAATCCCCTTTTCCGGCAAAAACTGGGAAGGCTCATTATTAGCAATTGTGGAGCAAGGCGTGGATATTATTTTTTATTTTATTTTATCTTTTTAAAATATTTTTTTAAAAAAGATTTTTATTTATTTGTTTGAGAGAGAGAGCATGCTTGTGAGAATGAGGTGGGGGAGGGAGAAGGAGGGGCAGAGGGAGATGACAGCAGACTTCCCACTGAGCAGGGAGCCTGACGTGGAGCTCAATCCCAGGACCCTGAGATCAAGACCTGAGCCAAAGACAGATTTTTTTTTAAAGGTTTTATTTATTTATTTGACAGAGATCACAAGCAGGCAGAGAGGCAGGCAGAGAGAGGGGGAAGCAGGCTCTCCGATGAGTAGAGAGCCCGATGTGGGGCTCGATCCCAGGACCCTGGGATCATGACCTGTGCCGAAGGCAGAGGCTTTAACGCACTGAGCCATCCAGGCGCCCCCAAAGACAGATGTTTAATGGACTGAACCACCCAGGCACCCCTAAGATTTTATTTTTAAGCAAATTCTACACCCAGAATGGGGCTCAAACCTACAACCCCGAGACCAAGAGTTGCACACCCCACCAACTGAGCCAGCCAGGTGAGCCAGCCAGGAAATAGACACGCCATAATCTGCTATAATTAGCCATTCTGACACAGCTACCATACCATTATTCTTCCCTGGTTTTTTCTCATGGGCATTTTTTCTAATGATTATAGTTATCATTCATTGAATATTTGTTATAGGTGCTATTCTTAACATTTTGCCTCTAATAACGTGTTTGATCTTCTCAATTATTCTATGATATAGATAGCATTATCCCTATTTTGCAGATGAGGAAACTGAAGCATGGTGAGATTAAGAAACTTACTAGAAGAACTTGAATCCAGGGAATTGGGCTTCTGAGCTTGGACCTTTCACCACTTTACTGTGCTGTTTCCCATACTTAGCTGTGTTTTGTTGACACTGTTATTATTATGGCCTATAGGCTTTTTTTCCTTTTTAACTAACCCTTATAAGTATTTTCCTCTTGCTAGTTCTCAGACTTTTTAAGAAATAACTTTATCTCAGTATAATTTACATAAAATTTAAATACACCCATTTTAAATATGTTCAGTTGATAAATTTTAATGCCTGCCTATACCTAACCACCACTATAATTAAAATTCCCTGGGTGTCTGAGTGGCTCAGTAAATTAAATGTCTGCTTTCATCGGGTCATGATTTCAGGGTCCTGGGATTGAGCCCCACATCGAGCCCTACATTAGGCTCCCTCTGCCTCTTCCCTCTGCTCGTGCTCTCTTTCTCTTTCTTGTAAATAAATAAAATCTTTTAAAAAAATTTCCATTGCCCTAAAGAGTTCCCTCACGACCCTTTCAAGTTATTTCCTTCCCCACCCTCCACCAGACAAGCAGTAATCTGCTTTCTATTACTGATTTTTCTTTTTTACTTCCTTTTCCACCCACAAATTTAGAAATTTGAAAATGTAATGTTTAATTCCCAGAGTTTGTGAATTTTTCAGGATCTTTCTATTAGTTTCTAATTAATTTAACCACTGTGGTTAAAGAGCACACTTTATATGGTTTCAGTTCTTTCAGATTTGCTGAGTTTTGGTTTGTGGCCCAGAATGGAGGTCAGTGAACATCATTTAAAGGGCCAGATAGAAAATATTTCAGGCTTTGTACTCAATACCTGCACACAGGCTCAACTTCTCAACTCTGCTGTTGTAGCACAAAATACATAATATATGAATGGGAGTGTTGAAATCTCTAACTATCTTAAGGGTCTGTTTCTCCTTTCATTTCTGCTAATTTTTTTTAAAAGATTTTATTTATTTATTTGACAGATAGCGATCACAAGCAGGCAGAGAGGCAGGCAGAGAGAAAGAGGAGAAAGCAGGCTCCCTGCTGAGCAGAGAGCCCGATGTGGGGCTCCATCCCAGAACCCTGGGATCATGACCTGAGCCAAAGGCAGAGGCCTTAAACCGCTGAGCCACCCAGGCGCCCCTCTGCCAGTTTTTGCTTTATGTATTTTGGAGCTGTGTTGTTAGGTGCATACACTCTTAGGATTGTTATGTCTTCTTGGTGGACTGACTGCTTTATCATTATGTAATGTCACTCCTAGTCTAGTAACACCCTTTGTTCCAAAGTCTTCTTTTCCTGATAAACTTCTCTAGTTCGCAGGATTCATACTCCCATACTGCCTGAGGTCTGTTTAATATATTTTGTCCAGTGTTCTAATTTTCTGAAGAGGATAGGTAAGTCTAGTCCCTATTATTCTATCATGGCTACAAGCAGAAGTCCATAACTGTCTTTTTTTTTTTTCCATAACTGTCTTTTTAACAGATATACAAGCTGCCACCTGTGGTCGTACTTTTGTCCTATTAGTTATTCCCTTAGCAAAAAGCAAAGACCACTTAGTTTGCTTGCTTTTATCATTTTTTTCTATCATAAACAATGTGATGACATTTTAATGGCTATAGTTTTTCGCTATTTTGATTAGTTCCTTGGAGAGATTCCCAGAAAGTAGAATCACTGAATCAAAAATTGTAAACATTTTAATATATTTTGAAATATATTATCATTTATTTCCTAAATATACCTTCTAATAGCTTTCCAAAATTACCAGTTTACAGTTCCATAGCTATATATGACATAAAATTTCACCAAAGTTACATACTTAAACTTAAAAATCTGTATCATTGCTTTAAAAATTTTTTTTGAATTCTAGAAAGGTTTCATGTGCTTTTATATGTATTCTTGTATTGTTTTTCTTTTTATCTGTTTGTATCTTTTGCTTATATGTCTACTAGGATGCCAGTATTTTTTTTTAAATAAAGATAAACTTATTTGTGGCAAATATTTTTTTACAGTTTGTTGATTGCCTTTTAAGTCCTTTCAAAATGTAACCGTGTCTGTCTATCCATTGTGATTTCTTCTACAGCTTGTAAGTTTCAGAAGTCCTCTCCAGGTTTGATAAATATTTAATTATATTTTCTTTTCATTGAAAAATTATGTTAAATTTTCATTCAACAAATATTTACCTATCACCTACTCTTAGCCAGTCATTATACTAGGTGTTGAGAATATGGTAGAAACTAAAATAGAAATGATTTCTGATTGCATGGGACTAGGAGAAGGTGGATATTTGCAACGGCTAATAATCTAATTCCAGCCTCCTACATGGCAGAAGAGAAGTCTGTTAATAAAGCACTCATGACACCTATTCTGTCATTTTTTTAGTTTTTTTTTTTTTTTTGGTGCAGTAGTGTGAGAGTACAGCTTGAACTGATTTTTTTCAAGTTGCCACCTATTTATTACAATATTATTTATTGGATAGGCATTTCCACCCATTGATTTAAGGGATTTCATTATCTCTATAATATAGAAACATTGAAAGTATTTGTTCGGGAGTCAGGCTAAACTGTGTTTAGATCCTGGCTCTCCGTTCACTAGCCAAGTGACTTTGGACATGTCGCTTATCCTGTTTGAACTTTTGTTTCTTTGACTGTAAAGTAGGGTGGCAATATTAGCTATCATTGAACTACTGTGACAATTCAAAGTGAAAGGGTTAACACTTTTTAAAAAGGTACTGCATTATTCTTGTCAGGGGATTGTGATGAAAAATTGCCGTATACATGATAACATGATGTTTCTCCTTAGGTGGAGGCAAAAACATAACCCCAAAAGCAGTGCTTGGTATGGAAATGAGTTGCATTAAGAAAAATCTCATAAAAAGTGTCGTTTTCATTTATTTTTTTTTTCTTCTGAGCAAGGTGCAAGCATATCTACATCAGTGTTGGAGGGTGTGTTATCATTAGCTCAGTGGAATTGAATTCCTAGCTCATGTAGGTGGATGGAATTTGTATGAGTCTGTTCAATTTAAGATTAAAAAAAAATGTTGCAGAACTCTGTGAAGGTCTTAGATCCCAACTTCCTCGTGTCTCTTAGATACCTGGTGCATTACTGGTCTCGGGCCTTGTTACACTTTGGTATCTTCTTCTTATCCCAATCTCAACTTCATACCTATTCATTCTTGCTTCTGACCTTGGTCATGTGTCTTGGCTAATTCAACTCGTAGATACATAAGGATCCTTCTCTGGGTTTGTCTTCCTTTTCACACACTCAGGAAGTCCCCTTGCATGATTTCCAAATTTATAGGGTGGAAGGAATACCGGGAAGGTGGAATGGTAGTCTGGGGAGACGGGGAGCGCCTTGGGTCCAGTGCTTGCTCACCTTGTGGTTCTCAGCTTGTCAGCAAAAGCTTTGGGGGAGAAGGGGAATGTGAACTTCCTTTAATCCTAAAATGAAATTTTTTTTTCTTTTTCAGTCTTCCACTAGATTTTCAAATCTGATTTGCCCGTTGGTTGGCACCTCTCACCTTCACATGTCAATAAGAAAGAAACCATTTTGGGGGAAGTTTTCAAAGTGTTTGTAACTAACATAATTAGGAAGACGTCTTAGAAGCCGTGGAGATTGGCAGCTATGCCGGGATGAAAATCGTTGTATTTTAAGCATGATGTCATCCCCTGAGCAAAGTGAAATAAGCCAGAAGGCAAGTGTAGATAAGTACGCCCAATTTGTCTTAAAGTTCCAGAAACCCATTCAGCCTTACATCTGCTCAACTCTGAATGATTTTCAAGAAGAGAGAGACTTTTTGGCAAACTACATCTTTCCTTAGCTTAACGAGCTCTGCATTTCCCGGGGCACGTATTTCAAAGCTGTAGACCTGAGGTGTGCAGCGTTGATGGCCCCGCCGCCCTTATCCTCCAACCTGTTTAGACAGCATTCTTGTCTCCACGCCCAGTACCTGAAGCTCTGTCTCGACTATGTGAACAGCTGCTTTCCCTTTCTCATCTGCATGCTGGGTCAGACGTACGGGGACTTTCTCCCTGACCATGTGCCTTTACTGTTCTCCAAAGCAACTGACTTGTCAAGTTTATCCCCAATAGAGCAGAATCTCTATGTTGCTGCAAAAAATGGTTATCCTTGGGTCCTGGAGAATCCCGACTACAGTTTGACGGAGTTTGAGATCATCCAAGCGGCATTTCTGAATAAGTCTCAATTTCAGTATTTTTACTTTAGGACTAGACCCACGCTGCTGAAGACTTTAGATGAGGAAAAGGAGAGGCTGCTCTCAGGCTCTCTGAATGATGAAGAAAAATTAAGGGTTGGCAAGCTTAAGGCCAAAATTATTAACAAAGGACTCCCTGTCCGATTTTATAAAGACCTCCATGAGTTGGGTGAGCTGGTTTTCAAAGACTGGTCAGTTGTGATAAAACAACTTTACCCAGCCACTTTCATGATTGAACATATGGGTGAGTAACTATGGAGATACAGCTAAGTGTCTTATCAACATAAAGTTAGCGTGTTTTGCATGTCTTCCTTGTAAGAGGACTTTTGAAATGATTGAAAATATTCCGTAAGCATTTAAAGTTGTTACCATATTTCTGTAACATGCGTTTCTCCATTTGAAGATTTTTGAAACTGGAAATAAGAGCAAATAAAGGGTCATGGAAGATTATTTAGGAATTCCAGGAGCTCGGAGAAGGCCTCAAATATCTGGCAGTTAAGGCAATAGATCTAGAGCAGAGCTTCTCAGCCCCAGCTGGTTGTCTCCCTCCCCTCCCACCCCGCTGCCATGGGACATTTGGCCTCGTCTGAAGTCATTTTGGTGTCAGAGTTGGGGGAGTGCTCCTGGCATCTTAGTGGGTGGAGGTCCAGGGTACTGCTAAGCAGCCCTCACCCTTACTGCTCAGTAATCCGTGGACCCGCAGCCATGGCATCACCTGGGAGTTGATAGAAAAGCGTTCCAGGTCCACTGAATGAGGGAGTACATTTTAATAAGATGACCAGGGGAGCTGCATACACGTTAAAGTCTGAGGAGCACAACTTGCCATCCTGCCTCTAAATGAAGTGATTCCATTTACTTTTGAAGGTAGCGTCTTGCAGACATAGAAAGAAAGGGCAGAGCAATATTAGAGTATGGAAGAGTTTTTTCACCTAGACAGACTTTGGGTCTGTCTTTGGGATGCCCTTAAAATTATATAAAAAAAATAGAATGTTTATGTACATATGTGTGTTGGGGGGTGGGTAAGAAGATGGCCCGTGTCTTTGATCAGATTCTCAAAAGGTTCCATGACCCAGAAAAGGCTATGAATTACTGTTGCAAGGGCCCCATTAACGTGAGATTGCAAAGCGATGGCAGGTGGTGCATTCCCGAATGTTCTCAGGGGACCAGGCAGGCAATAGGCCTTATGGCAGGGAGCAGGTGGATCTTGGTGAACTGAGCAGGACAGAGTTGACTCACCTAAATTCATTCGAATGCAGTGTTGGTGGGGAGGGAGGCAGGTGGCAAAATCCTACTGGTGCTGATCAACTCTGCCTCCAAGCCAAATCATTTTGGAGTCCTAGAAAAGAATAGTGTGTCAATCATAACTCTGGGTTGCAGGTGACTCAAATTGCCTGAAACAAAAAGGGAATTTATTTGCTTATATAACTTTAAAGCCTAGGATTAGGTCTGGTTCAACTCAGGCTTAAGCAATGGGTCAAACGGTATGACTTGCCCTGGTTTCTTACTGTTTATCAGCATGGCTCTGCGGTTCTGATACTGCCTCAGTTCCTTGCTCCTTCATCATGGAAGGAAGATGGCTATAATAGCTCCACATTCAAGTCCAGCAGAAGTGGCTCAAAGTCCTAGCATCGAGTCTTTTTGTCTCTGATTAGCCTGACTGGGACCATATGCTTGTAACTGGTTTAATCCCTGGTGCCAGGTGATGCTCTGATTGGCTAATCCTGGGTCAGATGCCCCCTGGAGCTGGAGGTGGAGTCAGACCCGCTGGAAGAACGTGAATTGAGAGTCGGGACAGGTGGGACACTGGATGGTGATCTGGGGCTGTTAAGGAAACTAGAGTAGGTGAATGGGTGTTGAGTGCCCCAAAAATATCCTGAATATTTACTACAAGCTTGGAGTTTTGGAATGTCTAAGGACACTCATGTTCTCAGACCTCAGATTTTTCAATTCCTAGATGTGTGTGACTCTGAGCAAACGACAATATTGGCAAGCTGTCGTTTCTTCTTCTACATAATGAGTTAACATTCACCACCTCGAGAGTAATAATGTATGTAAAATAGCCAAAAGCCATGCCTGATGCGTGTGAGGCACAAAGTAAATAGCTGATGGGAACGATGGCAACAAATGAGTTCGGGAAGAACAGATGATTTGGCTAAAGCTCGAAATATGATGATTAGTGATATTCTTTGACTATTCTCAGTCTGAACTGCATGTATAGATCAATACTTCCTAATGTGTTCAAGAATCAAGTCTGTCCAAATATCTTTTGATCTCTCTGATACGAGGAATTTGAGAGGCAGGATGGTGGGGTCGTTGGGAGTAGGAAGGGAAAAAATGAAACAAAATGGGATTGGGGAGGGATGGGACAGGGGAGGGAGACAAACCTTAAGAGACTCTTAATCTCAGGAAACAAACTGAGGGTTGCTGAGGGGGTGGGGGGTTGGGATAGGGTGGCTGGGTGATGGACATTGGGGAGGGTATGTGCTATGGTGAGTGCTGTGAAGTGTGTAAGACTGATGAATCACAGGCCTGTACCCATGAAGCAAATAACACATTATAGGTTAATAAAAAAAAAAAAAAAAGAATCAAGTCTATTTGGGTTAGAGACAGGATATTTCTCCATAGTATTCTCCTTAGCCTTTGATTTTAGTTATTATTGGAAAAAATAGCTTTAGACTTTTGAATGTATAACATGTGGACTAAATGTGTGAATTAAAAGTTACAGAATGGATATATTATTTTAAAAAGGGCTTTAGAAAGAAGTGCTATATTATTTTTCTTTTGTATCTTTGATACCCTTTTACCACCCAGGGAGTTCCAAAATCTGATGGGGGTGGGGGATGGGTAACAAAAGATATTTGGGAAGCAAGTGTTTATTGTAAGGCAATGTGGATCTATTGGTTCACACTCTTAACTCATAGAAACAATGTCTGAGTTCCCTGAAGATACTTAAGATTAATGGGTAAGGTTCAGGTTTACCTCAAGAGACCCATTAGATTGTGGGATCATTCTCAATTCTAAGATCTTGAAATTTGAAGCTGACTTTGGCCAGACTCTAGGTCTTCCAAGTCTCTTTGGCTCTAACTGGAACTAGAGGACAACCCAGTTAACTGTGGAGGTACAAGGTGAGTATCTTGGGAACCTACAAGGTTAACCTATCTGGCATTCATTTTCTTGTATAACATCCTCCCTCCATTAAAAGCAAAAACAAAACCCTGAGGATATAAGTCTCTCCAGAGACAGAAGGCATTTTGGCAGTCCAGAACAACTTGACTTTAATTAAACTGCAAGTTTAGAATTACAGTAAATTGAAACTAGAAGGAATCACTCAGAGATCCAAGTGTCTAGCCCTGCCCCTTATTTCACCAGAGAGTTTAAGGGGCTTGCCCAGTGGCAGAGTTACATCCGTACCCATGGTTGTCATTGCATTAGGGTATCTTGTCCAAAAGTACGCCCCGCTCTCCCAACCCCTGCCATGGATACACTTACATACATTTGCCACAAGATTGAAATAGGTAACTTCATACTAGATAACAATCTAAAAAATGAAGGGAGGTATGCCGCAAACTCAGTTTTTAATTTTTTTTTTTTTTGCCCTTGTTATTCCCAGCTCAAGAAATAACTTGGAATCCTAAGTAGGATTTCATATACAAATAAATTTAGGAAGATTAAATTGCTTGCCTGTTGTTTGCTTTCATTAGAATACGAAACGGGCTGTGAAATATGATGCCAGCATAGGGAGAAGGTGATAAGGATACAGAAGGGGAGATACCTTCCTGGGCATTTATAATAACCATATGTAGTGGAAAATGTGAAACAAATGTAAGGTACTAAAACTTATCTGTCTATAAAGACTATAAGCACAACTTTGAACGTTTCTATCATGAAGAGTTTACTGAGAAGTGTAAGCAAGTGTTTGTAATTTCCAAGGAATCAAATAGAACCTTTGAAATCTTGGAAAGATTTGCCTTAAAGGATGTGGGATTTGATTGTAACAGTGCTGCACCTGGTTCCAGCTTAGACTCTCTTCTCAGGTAAGATGTCAAGAAATCTAAGACTTTTTAGGCTTGAGCAAAATAGCCTGACGAGTAAATATGATCCTTCAAATTTCAGCTGTCTTCCCCACCTCCCCTTTTCTATGCCCAACATTCCTGCAAGAGCACCCCTGAAAAGCCACCCTTGGTTTGGAATTTCCTTATCAGATACCAGTCTGCCTTTGCAAAGTTTTCATGACTATTTCACTTCCTTTCTTCCAGTCTCCTCAAGGAGATGATAAACTCTGGAGGGCAAAGCGCGCGTCTCCTCCTCCACCCCACCCTGCTCTAAGTTGGTCAAAGTAATTCATGACAATGATGGAATGACTTTAAGGAGAAGAAATTAGATTAGGAAATATGAATAATGCATTTTTGCAGTGTTGTATAACTTACAAAGCATTTCCACATACATCATCAGCTCATTTTTAATTACATTAAGATATTCAGCTCACACTCATTGAATGCCTACTCCGGGCCACAGTATTGTTTGTGTATGGAACTGAATTATCTTACCCAATGTATGCACTCATATTTTTATCCAGTGTCCCCCACATCAAAACCCCTATTTTTTTCTCCCTACCCCCTGTTGTGGTGCATCCTCTGCTCATCACCTCCAGGCAGGAAGAGGCTGGGGCTTGAAGAAGGACTGGGGTTGTCCACAGTGTCCCTGCCTGTCTCATCTGCAGAAATAGGGAGATTCTCGAGATAGTTTTTTCTTCTTCCATCCTCATCCTCCTCTTCTTACCACAGATCTCCTTTATTCTCCATCTCCACCATCTCCACCACCTCTGCCCCAGTCTCTGCACCCGCCATTTTAGTCCACTGAGGGGTAGAGCTACCAACAGCTTTGTGGTTCTGGGAACTTGTGCCAAGAGGAAGACAAGTTATTTGGTTAATACAACATGGAGCCCAGGCAAGGCTTTAAAAACTTACCAGGAGTTTGAATATATAGGTCATGCTTTTAAAAAAAAAAATCATAGGTTTGAATAGGCAAATCCTTAGAGACAGAAAGTAGGTTAGTAGCTGGCAGGTTATGAGAGACGAGGAGAAACAGGAAATGATGGGTCTGGAGTTTCTTTTGGGGGTGCTGAAAATGGTTTGCAATTAATAGTATTTGTACAACCATGTGAATATAGTGAAAACCACTGAGCTGTACACTGTAAAATGGTGAGACTTGGGTACGTGAATTATATCTCATGTAAGTTATAATTTTGCGTATTTCAGAGTAGATGAGAAATTTGAAGATTTTTATTGCAAGATACAAGTCCCAACTGTGCCCAATTAAATACAATAATGAAACAAGCCCTTTGAAATTAGCTGTGTGGAAACAGGACTTTGACATTTGGAAACAATGCTTTGTACTGTAAGTTCCCGAGTCACATGTAGAGGTAACAGAGAGGGGTGTGCTTTTGAAGTTTGAAAGCATTGTCCTAACAACTGACCATCTAGAACAATACCCATAGATTTCTTTGCACTGTTTTCATTTTCTATTTGTTCTTAAGAAGAAATCATTCAGACCCTGGCTTAATTATGTGGATGTATTATATTTGTATTTTTGCTTCATTGGCTTTACCCGCTAAGAGCCAAGGAGTATTCTAGACATAGGGAATGTAGTAGTGAACAAAGAGACCAAACTCCCTGCCTCCACAGAGCTTACATTATGGAGGTAGGCAACACACATGGCAAATATGGAAAACATGTAATGGTCCGATGCCTTTAGTGCTATGGAGCAAAATATAAAACCTTGGCTAATCCTAGAAGCAGGTGAGGAAGCGAGCTATGCAAACACGGACTGGGCAAGCATTCCAGACAGAGGGAACAGCAAGCACAGAGGTCCTGAGGCTGGAGGAATGGCAGGGAGGCCAGGCAGCTGGAAGGAAGCCAGGGCTGTAGGGAGGGAGGTGGGGAATGAGGGTGGATGTGTCATGGATAGGGAGAGTGTGTGAGTCTTGTCTCACAGGTCATTGTAAGGAGTTGGGCTTTTTGCTATTTTTACCACAGAGCAGTGACATATGTCACATATCTGGACAAGCTCACTCTGGGTACTTGGCTGAGGAGAGACCAAAAGAGGGCAAAGGTGGAGGTAGGACACCAAATCAGATTCTGCCATTCAAATTTGACGGTGAAGTAATTAAAGCAATAACACATCAACTCCTAATTCATCATAATGGAGGTGGAATTCTCATGGAATAATTTCTATTAAATGATCCGAACCTGCTTTAATTTTCCTATTTTATTTTATTTTAAAGATTTTATTTGTCAGAGAGAGAGAGAGAGCAAGAAAGAGAGCGCACACAAGCAGGCAGAGAGCCAGGCAGAGAGAGAGGGAGAACCAGTCTCCCTGCTGAGCAAGAAGCCCGATGTGGGATTGGATCCCAGGACTCTGGGATCATGACCCGAGCTGAAGGCAGTGGCTTAACCGACTGAGCCACCCAGGCATCCCTAGGTTTCCTATTTTAGGGAATCTTCAGGCTGATATCCTCTTGCTTTGCCCCACCCCAGTGTCAGGCTTATTTATTTGATTTCATTCACTCATTCAACAATTTATGATCAGTTACTGTGCCAGTCACAAGCTAATAGTGAGTAAGATAAGCCTGCTAACTGTCTCTGTGAATCTTCCATCCATAAAAAATCACGAGGCACACACTTATTAAACCACAAATGTGTAAGGAACAGGGTTGGAGTCTATATGTAGTGATACCAGTGGACCTGGGATTCCCCTGCATATCTGGACAGGTTATACTGTGCCCACGCCTGTTCAGAGAAATCACGTTTCTGCAGTTCTACGAGCCAAAACACCCTGGTAGAGGAGCAGGCTATGTCTTAGTGAGTTACTAACAATTGTAATTTCCAAAGTCATGGTAATCAAGATTCATGGGAATCCCTGGCATACGGATGCTTCTGTTTCTTATCCTCTGATGTGATGTTCAATGGAGGGCCACTTTGGCGATGGTGGCTATGACTCTGGGAAGGGCTAAGCAGGGCAGCTGTAGGAGCGGTAGACTGATGTAGAAGAGCCTCCCTCCCTGGGCCTTTGGGCAGGTTGGGCCCTTGATGAACCCCAGGTTAATGCAGGACAACCCTAGGACCTGTGTAGCTGGAAGGGCCTTCCAAGGTTACCATCTCTCTCCTGTTCTAATTTTACACAGGACAGAGCTAAACCCCAGAGGGAAAATAATTTACTTGGAGCCAACTGAAGCCAAAGTTGAGACTAGAATTTCGTATCTCTTAGAGACGCAGGAAATTTTTTTCTCCCTTCCTCCCTCCCTCCCTCCATTTGTAAATATTCTTGACTACATTTTGCCCCTTTATTTTTTCAGAATAAATCCTCTTCCAGTTTACAAGTCCATTTTGCTCTTGTCTGGAGAACGCGGTTGTGGGAAGTCTACTCTGATCGCCAACTGGGTGAACGATTTCAAAAAGAAATATCCAAGCATCTTGATGATCCCTCATTTTGTGGGCATCACTTGTGAAAGCAGTGACATCATGTCTGTGATACATTACTTCATCACAGAATTGCAGTACAAAAACTACGGTACTGGAATCAAGCCTTTAGCTTTGGCGAATTTTTGTTAGAGATTAGATATTCCGTCTGCTGTTCCAGTAGCTGTTTTCATCTTGTTCTGGTGTAAACCCTGTATTGTCTCACTTACGTGATCTACCCACCTCTTTCCCTCACCGAATTCAATTTCCTTCTTTCTTTTTCTTCCTTCCTTCTTTCACCAAATGTTAGTTGAGCACCTTTACATGCCAGAGCACTAGGCAGTGGGAATGCGAGAGTGAACAAAATGAACAAAAGTCCTTACCCTCATGGTGCCTTTCTGTTATTGGGGTGAGGGAGACTAAGAGTTCACCGACTAAAAATGTAATACAGAATGTTGGATGTAAGTTCCATGAGGGAAAATAAAACAGAGCAAGAAGGGAGACAGCGTGTGGTTTGTGTCAGAATTGTTAGGTTTTGAAAGGTCTGGGAAAGTCTCGCTGAGAAGACATTTGAATACATACTGGAAGGAGGGAGTCAAGCAGGTATCTCAGGGATAGCATTCCAGTCGAGGGAAACAAGGACAAGGCCTCCGTGACAGGACGTGCCTCCCAACTATCGCTCCTCCTGTTTGATTCCGTCCCTATTTCTCGAGCGTGTTCGTTTACTCACGTGCGCGTTCAGTCACTCGTTACTGAGTACTGATTGGTTGCTTGGTCTGTGACAGACACTGCCCTGGGTTCTGGGGATGTCTGCCTCAGGCCGGTAAGGACATGACTCCCACAGATATGATGTTCTCGTTGAGAAAGTGATAAACGCCATGCAGATTGGTGTGGTAAGGGGGCAGGGGCTCGCTAGGTTGAGCGGTCTGGGCCTGTGTCTCTGTATTAGAATAATTAGCTGCGGTGACAGCTAAGTCCCAGTTCAGTGGCTTCTCGAATGAAGTCTTTCTCTCGCTCATGGAACAATCCAGTAAGGGGTTCTTAGGTAACAAGTGTCTCTCCTCCATGTGGTGATCTGGGGACACAGGCCTTGTCCCTCTTGAGGCTGTGTAATCCCCTAGGGCCTTAGAGTCCTCTGCCTTTGGCTAGAGGAAGAGGAAAAAGAGGTGAAAAGGCACACCTGTTCCTTTAATGCCTTGGCCTGGCAGTGATCCAGATCACTTCACGTGCCATTCTTTTGGCAAGAAATTGGCCACCGTGGGCCTACATGGCCACACTGAGGGTTAAATGGGGACAAAATGCTGACTCTACCCCAGAAGGGAGAGCATGGACTTTTTGCAGGGTAAGTAGCTCTCTCTGCTATACTCTGTGGAGATCTCACAGACATGGAGTAGCTAACCATGTGGAGATTAAAATGTTACAGGCAGAGAGAACAGTTAAGGTAATACAGGTCCTAAGCCAGAAACAAAGGTGAGTTGGAAAGGAAATCAGGCCAGTGTGGCTGGCAGGGGAGCCCTACCGGATGGAGCAGGAGGCGAAGGCCAGGCCACTTCGGGTCTGGGCTTTGTTGCACAGAATGCTAGGTTCAGATTCTGTTGAGTACAGTGGGAGGGCAGTGGAGGATCTTAACCAGGGGAGTGACACGAATGATTGGTACTTGGAAAAGATCTGTCAGTCTGATGTATGGAAAATGGATGTAGGGAGCAAGTGTAGAGGCTCATTAGAGGCTACTGCAATGGTCCCAGCAAGTGATGGGGGTTGGTTGGGGAGGGCAGTAGCGGAGGAGCTGGAGGGCTTTCACTGGACTGAGAGTCTCCTGAGGAACTAAATGTGGAGCTTGAAGGACAGGAGGCATTGAGGATAGCTTTGCGAAGTGAGACAGATGGTGAGGGCTGTGTACTGAGATGGGACATTATCAGTGGGGTGGGGACAGCACGTTTTGAGGGGAATCAAAAGAGTTCTGCTTTGGATGAGAGCTAGCTAAGATACAAGGTGTGTATGGGGAATGATAACAATTGTGTGGGATCTACCTCTGTTCTAGGAGCAGCCGGGGAGCCCAACTGCTACTTATTAGCTGAGCGAGCTTCTGTGAGTTATTTTAACTCGCAGTGGCTCCGTGTTCCTGTTTTGTAAAATGTGGATAATAGGAGAAATGTCTTGTAGGTAGTTGAGAAGATTAACTAAGGTAAAGTATGAAAAATAAAGACACTTAGCCCAGTGCTTGGCATGGAGTAAGCCCTGATAAGTATCAGCTGTTATTATTATTAGCTGTCTGCTGTGTATTTGCGTATCTGACTCTGCCTGTTTTAGGGAACTCGTCCCTTCTTATGTGGGGCTTGTACCCAAGCGTGCATTTGGGTATTGAGTGGGTATGTGGGTCCCAGAATGAGTTTTGATGGATGTGTATTATCTCTATCTGATGGGCCAGATATCTGAGCTCCTTTGTGTGCGTGTGCGTGTGTGTATCTGTGCACAAATAGGCACAGGGGCATGGGTCCTCTGCGGTTGCATTTCCCAGGGCGTGGAACGTGGGTAAAATCAAAATCAGTAGCAGCAGGTGTGACTGGTCCTAGAGGACGACCACCGATCCTGCTCAGCCACAGCCCAGGGGAGTTCGGTCTGGCCAGGCTGAGAAGATGAACTCAACCCAACGAGCCCAGTTATGATTTTATTCCCAAAGCGAATTGTGATTTTAATGAGTGTGTTTTTAGATACTGAAAGCTCCTGAGAAAAACAGCTGCTGTTTTCAAAACAAACAGATCTTGAGGTTGACAGTGCGGAATCCATTCAGGAACGGGCCGGTGAATAGCAGACACTCGGTGACACCTTGTGTCCCTGAAAGGAGGCCCCCCACCTCATGAACAGCCCAGGGCCAAGGGGCAAGGGCTGTGCTTCTGCACTAGGCCCCCCTACCTCTTGCAAGCCGGTGCTGCTGCTTGCTAGCTGTGTGCTCTTGGGCAGTTTGCTTAAGCCGCATGCGCCCCAGTTTCTCATCTTGAAGATGGGGGTGGGACTAACAGTTCCTGCGTCAGGCTGTGTGAGGAGTGAGATTCTGCAGGTAAAGTACTGAGAAGAGTCCCCGGCACACAGTCGCCGTTAGTGTGATTGTGTTGTTGCGATGATGATGACGGTGACCATGACTTTTCCTCTCTGCGCTAGAGAGAGAGGCTGAGAGCGGGGGACTGCTAAGGGAAACAAGAAACTTCTATTCATTTACTAGACTCGGGGAGGGGGCGGCAACGCAGGAGTTTGCAGGGGAGCCCAGCCGGGGCGGAGGCTGAGGGGAAGCACCGCGCTCCGTTTGGCCTCTGCAGCCCGGAAGCTGGGCTTCGCCTGGGTGCGGTGGATGCGGGCAGGAGACGGGGAGCTGCGGCCGAGAACGCAGCTGGCCGGGAGGTCAAGGGCTTGGGGCACATTCAGCTTCTTTGCAGAGCGGTTCCCCAGGGCCGCCTGCCTCGGCGGGGTGCAGTCGCAGCTCCTGCGGGCGCCCTCTTTAGAAGGGACCCCAAAACGTGCCCTGCGAAGCTCCCATTTCTGCTGCTCCGTCCTCGCCCCTGCTTGCCCGGATAGAGGAATCTTGCAGCGAGAACTGCCTGGAGCCCGCTCTCCCCACTCTCACGCCCCTCGCCTGCCTCGCAGGCCACTGATGTTCTGTGACGTGCTTCGCAGAAGGTCAGGGGAGAGCGGCTTTCTTGTTTACATATTTCCTCCTGTTACCCCCACAACCCCGGGGGCAGCCCAAAGAACAATGAGTTCCATTTACGGAACCGCTTTCTGAGTGCCGCGCTCTGTGCTAAGGGCTTTATCAGCATCTTATTTAATGCTGTCAGCAGCCAGCGCTCTCTCCGCAGATGCTCAGACGGGGCACTTGTGGGCACAGCAGGGGTTCAGACTCAGGTCTTCACCCAGCTCCAGGCCCCTAGTCCTTTGTACTGCTCTGTCTTGCCTCCTTGAACCAACAGAGGGACACTTTGCTCTTTGAGTGATTTCCATCGGGTCCTCCCCTAGCATCAGTTCCCGAGAGTCTGCGCTCAAATCGGTGATGTGGAATGGGCAGAAATACGAGCAGGACTTCTTGGTAGGGCTTGCTAAGCCTTGTGCCCTAGGCCCTAGGCCGGGCTGACTTGGGGTCATGGGTTCAAGCCCCACATTGGGTGTAGAGAGTACTTAAATATAAAATCTTTAAAAGAATAATAAAGATCACCCTCCCAGTGAGAGCCTGATAGGTGCCTCTTTCCTTCACCTCTAACTTTGACCAGGTGGCAAGGACAGCCCCAGTCCCATTGTATTCTAGTTTGTGTGGGTGTCTCCCTGCAAAGACTGAGCTTGGCATCCTGGGGATCCTGTTATTATATGTGTTACTGTATCCCTTACAGTCCTGCGGGTGCAGGGAGCCATGTCTATTTTTTTTTCCACTGTGGCACAGAGAAGCTTATTTTTCCAAACAAGAGAAAAAGCTTAGCTTAAAAATAATAAACATCATACTCACGCATATAAACATCAAAAATAACATGTGTTTGAACCATGTCTATTTTATTGGACATTGTCCCACTCTGTGCCTGACACAGAGCATGACTAATAGAGAAATGTTCTCAGTAAATCCTTATTGAATGGCAAGAGATTAACACTGCCCCAGATGGAAAAAAAAATCAATCACTAAGTCCTTTTGTTACAGGGTATTTTGAAATTGTATCAATCGACTTTTTTTCTCTCCCCATAAATTTATCTATCCTGACTGGGTCTTCCAACACTTGAGATGTCACCATTTAAATTAGGCAATAGACCACTGTCACTGAGTAGAGATCGTTTGACACTAACAGAATAAAGAGACATGTTTAGGATCATTTTCCACTCCTAGTAATTCTGACTATCTCCAATATTATTTTGAGGAAAAATCATTTGAATCACCCCCAATGGGATTTTTAAAACACTGGGCTTTCCTTTGTGTATGCAGATATCTGTAGGTATCCTCCTTGAGGGTTTTCCCCTCCCTTTTTTTGTCGGGTTATTTTTTTTGCTGATTTTTCTGAATGATATTGTGCTTTATGATTGTCAGGCTGTGTGTATTTCCCGAGGTTCATGCAGTTCCGTTTTGTGTCTTAGCCTCCACCAGTTTCACGCAAGAGGTGAGCAGTGCGTGCCCTCCGCTTATGACTGCTGGTGAACCATACGTGGCAGTAGTGACCCACACAGCTTGAAAACTCAAACGGAGTGGTCTTTAAATGATGATGTGTTGCCTGCAGGAAAACTACTAGCAAATTGGTGTTTTTAAAGCTCCCATTGATTTGTGTTCAAGTTTCTTCACCTTCCTAGGCCTGTGTCCTCACCTACGAAATGAGGATTTGGACTAGACTACATGATTTCCAGAATCTCTCCTCCTCTAAACTTCAGTTACCTAAGGCTTAGAGTCTTGATATTGCCCATATGTTAAAGATTTGGGGAAAAAAAAATTCCCAAAATACCTGGAAGGATGAAGCACCAAGATTAAATGTTCTCTTCCCATTCTTGAAAAGTATATTTTATTGTGTGCCACAAGCACAAACCATTTTTTTTAAGATATATTTTTTAAATTATCTCTACACCCAACATAGGACTTGAACCCATGACCCTGAGACCAAGAGTTGCACATTCTGTTGACTGAGTCAGACAGGTGCCCCTATCTTTTTTGATTCCTTCTCCTCCTTTATGTCTCACATTCATACATAGCCTTCAAGTCATTAACTTTATGGCCATTTGCTAATATAAAAATATCTTTAAAAATCAATATGTCCAGTTTTAAGATAAGTGCTGGGAATATTATGTATAGCATGGTGGCTATAGTTAATAACACCGTATTGCACATTTGAAACTGGGTAAGAGTACATCTTAAAAATTCTTATCTCAAAAAATATATTTGTTTAAAATTCTTTTTAAAAAAATTTTTAAGTAGGCTCCATGTCCAAGATGGGATTTGAACTCACAAACTTGAAATTAAGAGCCACATACCCTATGACTGAGCCAGCCAAGTGCTCTGAAAAAAATGATTTTGTATCTGTGTGGTGCTGAATGGTAACCAGACTAATGGTGGTGATCATTTTGTAGAGTATACAAATATCGAATCATTATGTCGTATGCCTGAAACTAATATAATATTATATGTGATTTCTACCTCAATAACAAGAAGACCCATGCTACCCTCTACTCCCATGTAAAAGAGAAAGGTAAAGTAGTTTATTATAAAATAACATGTTCTTCAGTATATAAGTGCTCAGACATGATTTCGGCAGAGGCCACAGTGGAGTAGGCAGATGCTTGGCTCTCTATGGAAATGACCATGGAAGCAATCGCTGTCAGGGCAGACTGGCCCAGGTGTGTTATAGTCAAGGTTTGAGATCACGAGTGATATTCCTCTCAGGGTTGTGATTTTCTGAAGTGGTGAAAAAGTCTTGGTATCATTTCAGACGAAGGAATACTTAATCTTCCATCACATTACATGGTAGTTGTATTCCTAGAAAATTCTATGTGTTTTAAATCTGCAAATTATTATTATTATTATTATTTTAAAGATTTTATTTATCTATTTGACAGACAGAGATCACAAGTAGGCAGAGAGTCAGGCAGAGAGAGAGGAGGAAGCAGGCCCCCTGCTGAGCAGAGAGCCCGATGCGGTGCCGTGCGGGGCTCGGTCCCAGGACCCTGAGACCATGACCTGAGCTGAAGGCAGAGGCTTTAACCCACTGAGCCACCCAGGCGCCCCATAAATCTGCAAATTATTTTGCATTTGCATGAAAATGGAGTGGGTTTCTAGGTGTGGTAATTAGTAAAGTTTCCCCCCTTATGTGACTGACAGAACATTTGAAAGTCAGGTGGACACCAGGACACGGCTTAATTGTGTGTGACTGTCCTGTGTTGTAGGATATCTAGAATCCCTGGGGCCTCCCCTGTTGAGTTCCACTGCTCTAATTAGCTTCCTGTTTTTTGAATGTTCATGTACTTTTCCTTCCTTCACCTCTGCCTTATCTTGCTGGATATGCCCTTGTCCTCGTCTCTAGCTGTGCATTCTCCAAGACTCATCTCAAATGTCTTCTGCACACAGCTTTTCCGTATTGTGATGGTTCTGTATCAAACTCCAGTAAACTTCAGTCTCATATTCTGCCTTCAAACATGGTTATTCATGTACAGAACCCGTTTTCACTTCCCTTAACTCCTTGAAGTTATGCTATAGATCATTTTATCTCCTCTTGGCTGCTAGCTCAGTACCTTGCACATAACAGGCAGCCTGTAAGTAGTTGTCAAACGTAATTATTCTCAGTGCTTCTAACAGAATCTTAATGCATCTGAGAGGCTAAATCCATTAAAGCTTCTTTGCATAACTTGATTTTCTAGATTCTAATATACTTAAATTTTCAAATATTGGCTTTGAAAAATAAAAGCAAGATCAAAGTTGTATGTGCTGAAATGCCCTTAGAATATTAAGTAGTTGCGGGGCAGTGCCTGGATGTCTCAGTTGGTTGAGTATCAGACTCTTGATTTTGGCCCAGGTTGTGATCACAGGATCATGAGATCGAGAGCCCTGTGTCATGCTCTGTGCTGGGCATGGAGCCTGCTTAAGGTTCTCTCTCTCTCTCTCCCTCTCCCTCTTCCCACTGCTCCCCCTCACACACGTGTTCTCTCTCTCTTTCTCCAAAATAAATGAATAGATCTTAAAAAAAAAAAAGAGTATTAGGTAGCTGATTACAATTTTGGGTGGCTACTACTATGTCACTTAATAGGGTGAAAGTTTGTCCTCTTATTACATCCTCTAGCTTTGCTGGCTTGTTGCCTAATTCTCCCCGATAATTTCCAGATTCCAAGGTCTGGGGTCCAATATTGTGGGTAGAGTAATTTAGGATAGGTTATGTCAGATTTAATGTGGGCAAGGAGCGCGCAGCCTAGGCACCAGGCAGGGGCTTGGGGAGGTGATGCATGGGTGCGTGGCTGTACCGCCCGGGGAGGTGGTCAAGGCGCTTAAAGTGCCCCCTGACGTTACAGAGCTACAGAAACTTCGCAGACCACATAGACTGGCTTCTTTCTCCCCATCCAACTCTTTGTAACATGATCTATTTTTGCATTTTGGAGAACGAGAGTAATGCTTTGGATCATACAAAATAATTTTTTATATACAATCCTGAAAATATATAGGAGACATCTGGTGGTAAATACCATTATCCCTTTTGGGTTGAATATTTTTAGGCTGCTAATCACACATATACCTATATGTGTCAGCTGTACAGCTGTGAATAGCACTCATTGTTCCCAACCCCTTCCGCCTCCCCATCCCATTAACATATTCTAGCAGCGATGGGAGCATTTTTGCCTAATCTGAGCAAATTCCTCTGCTCTAGGTACTCAGCTTGAAACCGATGCTCTTAACGAAGACTCAGACATCTTGGTCTTTCCACTTCTTGTGGAAGTCTTCATTGCTTCCATCAGTTTAAAGCCCTGTATACTTGTCCTAGATGGAATTGAAGAATTGATTGGCATTTATGGGATCTCAGGACAGAAGGTAATCTCTTTTTAAAATCATACTTATTTTATTGCTGTTTTATAAAAAGAAAACACCATAATTTAGAACGTATGTAACATCTTTCCATTGTATCGCGTATCTATATCTACAGGCGACATTGCTTATGGTCACTGCTCTCCATTTTATTGAACAAATACTTTTGTGGTGGCACTTAGAGTGGGTCAGGCACCCTTCTAGGAACTTTAGAAGTATGAACACATAGAATTCTCAGAAGAACTCTGTGGAAGAGAGACTGTGATCATTGTCCCTGCTTATGCAGAGGGGACGGCATGAGGAGACATTAGGTGGCTTTATGGGGCATCTGAAGATGGTGGTAGACTGGGAACTCACATGTGGGTGGTCTGGTTCTAGAAACTGTGACCTTTACTCCCACCTGGGCTTTACTCCCGCTCTTGCTGTTTTATATTTTTATCAAGCATTTATTGGGCCCCGAGTATTTTCTTTATGTTGCATATTTTGATCTGCCTCATCTACACTGGTTTTGCACATACCAAATTGGTTGCTCCTTAGTTTTTATCCTGTTTGAGGTAATATTGGATCCATGGAAACTCTAAGTCACCTTGGTATCAGCCATTACTTTGTGAAGCAATTTCTCTAAAACTTAAACACATGAAATTGTAAATTATGTCAGTAATTTACAAATAATCTATGTTTCTCATAGAGAATATGATGAAAGAAGAAGAACACAGAAAATTAAGTATACTCACGGTCTCACCACTGCTTAACATTTGGGAGTAGACCCTTTTTTCTATGGATGTCTATACACACTCATTGAAGCTTATGTAAATGAAGTTACATACCATTTTGTTTTGTAATCTGCTCTTTAATTTAATACACAGCGACCACCATCAATTCAACAAGTAACTATTGACCACTCACTATGGGAAAAGCACCATAAGCAGAGTTGGACGTGATCCCTGCAAACCAGCAGGACTTTCATTCTGGCAGGGGATGGCCGATGTTAATGGCACGATTATACCAATGAGTATAGAATTGCAATTGTGACAGGGCCTGCCAAGGGTCTGTATGTAGTGCTGTGAGAGCCTCTAACAAAGGCCCTTGGCCTTTGGGGAAGGCTCCCTGGAAGAGGGGCTCCAGGCAGAAGTCTGTGGGAGGAGGACGGACTATCCTAGATGTCCTAGGATATTACCTGCACCTGTGTCGTGCAGTGGTTGGGAGCCTGCCTGGGGAGTCAGACCCTTGGTTTCAATCCCAGCCCTGCTGCTTACTATCAGAATGAGTTAGATATGACATTTAGCCCCTCTGTTTTGCAGTTTCCCCCTCTGCCTTTCAGGAGGGTTGTTAGGAGGACTCAGTGAGTTGGTGTATTAAAATTATACCTGGGGTTTGATTTATAGGAGGATGACTGAGTGCTGACATGGAGAAGCCAGTGCCACTGAAGGAAGAAATTATGACTTGCATTTCCCAAGAGATGAAGATACTCCTTGTCAAACAGGGCCCCGGGGGAAGTCTCATGGTGGCCAGGAGGCAGAAGACAGGAGCCAGGAGAAGGCCCAGGCCAAAGCCTTTGTGGGGATGAAAGGCAGAGTAAATCATTCAGGATGTACAGTTCTGGCAGACTTTGTGGTGTAGGGACTGTCCCTGGTTTCTGGCTCTGGCCCTGGGATGATGTAGGTCAGGGAGATGTGGGCTTGGTGAGTGAGAGGCGGATAAGAAGGCGGTGGGGGTGTGGTCTTGGATCTGCTGGTCTGCTCATGACAGGCACGTTCCAGGCAAGCTGTCCACCGCCTCTAGGAATTAACTTGTCTTGGGAGGACCAGTCTCACCTGGATCTGTCTGTAAGGCCCCTGAGAGAAGGCAAATTATCAGAAGACCCCCAAAATAAAAATCTCTAGCTAATAGAGTACCTGAAGACACGTTCAGCACGGTGCCTGGCTCAGAGTAAGTGGTCAGTGTTTGCTAGTTGCTCTTATTATTATCATAATCGTTGCTAGGGGTGGGAGAGGCTGTTAAAGGAACCTAGAAAGATTTGATTAGGTGTTTATTTGATTCCCAAATAAAACCATTTAACTTACGATAGTACTGTTGTATAAAGCGATGATTCTTAAGCATCAAACAGTGTTCTCTTTTTCAGTCCAGTGGTTTGGTTTTCACTCTTAGGGTTTCCTTTGGCCAGCACTGTAGGTCATTCTTCAGAAGCCTACGATCTGTCGGATTCCTTGCTTGTAGGAATCTCTTTTTGGAGGTTGCATCTGTGCTATCAAAGTCATCACAGAGGCGGCGTCAGTCAAATATAGTTCTGTGGGGTGAGAGTGGGTATTTTCTTACCACCGTATTGTTTACTGTCCGGCTTATTGTTCGTAACCTTAACCCCAGCCTTTACCCTGTACTAACTCCCTCTAATTCCAGCTGCGCTGAGTTTAAAAACCAGCAACCAAGTAGTTTTAAAGTCTTTAAAGATTTCAAATGTCTTTGACTTTCTCTCTCAGGCGAAGGATTTCTCTTGGCTGCCGAGCTCAGTGCCTGCTCATTGCAAACTTATCATGAGCACCGTCTCCTCCAGCCTGTCCTACAAGTCGCTGTGTGCGCGCCCGGATGTGAGGACCGTGGAGCTTCTGAGTGCAGGAGACAAAGAGGTGAAACTGAACATGTTTAGACAGTATCTCTTCATTCCCAGCAGAGACCCCCTCCGACAGACCAGACACCCTTTGAGGAAAAGAACAAACCTGAATCCTTTAAAACTCACGATCCTAGCAAATGAGCTGAGAGAATGTAGAATCTACTGAGATGAGTACCAGTGTCTGAAGGAGTACTTGGAGGTGGTCTCCATTCAGGAGCTCTGGGAACTGATTCTGAAACGCTGGATGGAAGACTACAGCTGGACTTTTCTGCCAAAAAGGGCCAATTCGGACACCGGGGCTTCAGGAGAAGGTAGGTCTCAGCTAGTATTGACAGCGAGCTGGAGCCCATGGGGAGAAAGATGTATGGCGGGCCACCCTGAGGAGGAGGGTGCAAGGATAAGGCTGTAAGAGAAAATACAGGATGCCCAGTTAAATTGGAATTGCAGATAAAGAACAAATAATCTTTTAGTAAAAGTATGTGCAGTTATTGCATGGGACATACTTATACTAAAAATTAGTCGAATCAGAGATAAAATAATTTCATTAGAAGTGGATCCCAAATTATTGCACAGACTCTACTTATACCAAAAATTAATTTGTTGGCTATCTGAAGTTCAAATTTAACTGATTCTCTGTATTTTAATTTGCTAAATCCAACAACCCTGTGTAGGGAGCTCTGTGTTGACGGTAAAGAGGACTGTAGGAGGCACATTTTTCAGGAGTCTGAGAAATGGGCCTTTACGCTTTCTTTTTTCAAAATATTTTATTTATGAGCAAGACAGAGAATGAGAGAGAGAGAGGGAGGGGTGGAGAGACTCTGCATTGACCCTAGAGCCCCATGTGGGGCTCGATCTCAGGACTGAGATCACGACCTGAGCCCAAACCTAGAGTTGGCGGCCTAACCGACTGAGCAACCCAGACCCCCTTGGCCTTTATTATTTCTATAACTCAATTCTTTTGGCAGAAACCTAATTCAGTTAATCTAGGTTAATTATATCAATTTAGCTTGTTTTCAGACAGATCAGGGTGTTTTTCAGTCAAGCGAGGATTTGTGTCCTTCCTGTGTCTCCTTTGGGTTGACCTTAAATCTGAGGCCCTTGGTGCTGGGTGTCCTCGGTTGTCCTCTGTCCCTGCTGTCTTCCACTGAGGTGGTCATGGCCCCAGATGGTCTACAGTTAACTGACGTTCCTCCAGTTTTTTTTTTTTTAAGGGTTTTTTTTTTTTTTTAAGATTTTATTTATTTATTTGACAGACAGAGGTTATAAGTAGGCAGAGAGGCAGGCAGAGAGAGAGAGGGGGAAGCAGGCTCCCCACCAAGTAGAGAGCCCAACGTGGGACTCAATCCCAGGACCCTGAGATCATGACCCAAGCTGAAGGCAGAGGCTTTAAACCACTGAGCCACCCAGGTGCCCCACGTTCCTCCAGTTTTGGCCTTGTCTAGGACACCTGTATTCCCATCTGTCCTTGGATTGGTCACTCTCTGCTGCTGTCAGCCACCACATTCCCTCATCTTAACGTGAGGAGGCCCCACTAACATCTGCACCCTTCTGGAGCCTACCGTCTCGTGGGTAGTCAGCATTCCTGACAGGGCACGTTGGTTACTCCCCATACCCTCGGAGCTCCTGGCTCTGTAGGTCTCTCCATAGCAATTTCTGCTGTCTGGTTCTGAGGGCATCAGGAGATCTGCAGAGCTTCTGATTTTCAGGCTCCCGATGGGAAGCAGAATGCAGGCTCTCTGTACTCCTGGGTCCCCAAGCGCATCTGTCTCATGGGTCCTCTCTCGCTGCTCACAGCCTGGGTTCAGGGGACGGCACAGGCCCCTTCACGGAAACCTGCCCTAGCAACTCCATGGCTCTCTTTCCTCACTGCTTCCTCTTCCTTTCTCGGTTCAGTCTTCCTTAGCTCATCCTGTAACTGTCTGAGTCTGTTTGTGGTTAAAAAATGTATTCCACGAGTTGGTCAGGAGATTGTCTTTTGGTATTCAACAGTCAGTCTTTTGAGAAGGTAAGTTTATTCTCAGAGCTGTTATCTCTGCTACGAGCTTCAAAGGTCTCTTTTGAAACTTGAGTTTCTGCTACAATAACCTTCTCTGAAGGACGATTAATTTAGAATGGAGCAGGGATGGGGATGTGAGGGTGGGGAAGGAAGCAGAAAATGCTTGGACTGAGAGACATATCGGTTGGCATGACAACATATTGTCCTGCTCCATTTTTTGCTCCAGAGTTTGCATTTCTGCAAATAAAATTAATTTCAAATTTAGTGTACCCTCCCCCACCTGCAAGGAGGTGAAATAAACATTTCTGTGCCCTGAGAAGGGTCACACAGGCAAAGGGTCACACATGGCTGTGCCCATGGCCATCCCTAGTCGTCCAGCATTGTTCAGGAAAGCCCAGGCCCTCGTCTCCCGAGGGACGACTACTCCTTTCCCTGGCTGACTGACCCTCACTGTCTAGCACTGCCTACTGAGTCCTCAAGTCCAAGGCACTGAGCCACGGGTCCAAGAAGAGCTTGGTCAGACTCGGCTCAACCTCTGAAAGAGGCTTGCACACCTGGGGCTGAGCAGCTGCCTCTGTTTTGTGATTGTCGGTGTTTGGGGTCGTTCCCCAGTCCTAGCAGAGGAAGTCCATCTAGGATAGCAGACCCTGCCGTTTCTCTCGATGGTCTTAAGGGTCTCTTTCGACTTGGTCTATCATAAAGCCAGTGGGAAATCCAGCTGTGGTGGAAAAATCCGAGGGTCAGGCGAGTAATGTGTGTAGGTGCCTTGGGTGGTGTCTGTGAATGTGTGCCAAGAGAGCAACCATGCGGAAGGCCCACTCCTTGCCCTAAATGCAAATCTGATGTTTGCACATCTCAGTAAAGACTGCTCACTGGTCTAGTAATTGGCCAACTTGCCGGCTTGGAACCGTAGCTCATGTGGCTGTATTAGCTGGGACAGTGTAGCTGTTACTTAATGCCTAAAAGTCTGGGCTTGGAAGCCAGCTTGTCTGTGTTCAAATCCCAGTTCTGCACTTATTTCTGTGTGTTCTGGGTAAGTTATTTAACCTCTCTGTGCTTTGTCTTATTTGTAAGACGGGGACGGGGTTAGGTCGTACCTACTTATAGGATGATTAAAAGAAACAAGTTGTTAGTCGTATAAAACATTTAGAATGATGCCTGGTAGCTGGGAACTCTTCTATTTTGCCATCGTTGTCATTCTGTTGTCTTAACAGCATTGGATGGCTGGGTGGCCGATGCTCTGTGCTTACTGAGCATCTCACATTGTGGACTGACCGAGGTTGAGATATTCCAGATTTTGGACATGCTGGGCTACAGGGATCATTACAAAGTTACCACGTTGCACTGGGCTGCCTTCCGCAATGCCACCAGACAGTGGGTCCAGGAGAAGCCCAACGGCCTCCTGTACTTCAGGCACCAGTCCCTGCAGAATGCTGTGGAGCACAAGCTTCTGGGTAAGGCTTGAGTCTGTGCGAGTATCTGCTCGTTAAGAAAAGGGAAGTTCACACACAAGGGGAAGCTTGTTGCTGGCATTTCTCAAATAGAAGTGAATCTATAAACACATATAAACATGGGGATATAAATTAATACTTGTACCTAATTGTGAATAACAGAGGCCTGAAATCAATGGCTTCCATACCAGGGTTTACTCTCTCACATGAGAACTTTCTGGAAGTAGGCTGCCTTCAAGGCTCCACATCATGATCTGGGATCCCGTTCCTTCTGTGTCCCCAATCCATACACTAGCTTGACTCTCAAGGTCACCTCATATTCATGACTGTTGGAAGCAGCATGGCTGCTGGAGCTCCAGCCATTGCATTTTGGGCAACGGGAAGGATGAAGAGAAGAGGAAGGGCTTTCATTTCCTTTTAAGGAGTTTTCCCAGGTTTCCACCAACATTTCCGCTATATTTCCAGAACTTTGTTGTTTGCCTGCACTAGATACAAGGGAAGCTGGTGAATAGAGGTTTCAACAGGAGTGTTGCTACCCTAAACCAAGGTGGGCATCTGTCACTAACAAAGATGAGGTATGTGGTTACAGCATAGGCATCAGCAGTCTCTACCCTAATTCTGAGATCAAATTCTGTCCTCTTCTGAAAGGACAGTAGGTCTGAACCTGAGACACGATGGCAATCACAGACACTTGATCTAGAGGCAGACCATTCTATTCATATAGGGTCCTCATACAGGTATGAGGACTTAAAAAAGCCTTTAAATCACAGCCTCTGCAAAGATTCTAAGCTCTGTGCAAATTTCCTTTTAGGTTTACTATGTCCTCTTTCACTTTCTTTTTTAAAAAGATAAATCCTTTCCACTGTTCCCCTCCTACATTGTCATCATTTCCACCACCTCTGAAGTTACATAACGTGGCAAAGAGAATAGGGCAAGGAATGAGGATGTTTCTAGGTGTGAGGCCTGCTCTTCTGCCCATTGGCCTCCGATGGTTTGCAGCACTCAGTCTCTTCGTTTTCCCAAAGAACAGTAACACTCTTGGAGGTACAGGAACGAAAGGGCCATGGTGTGGCTGTTAAGATTCTGGGTATAGGCTGTACCCCTTCTCTGCACTGTGAGCCCCAAAATAAGACACTGCTGGCAATACTATTTTCAGAAACAAAACAAAACAAAACAAACCCAACTTTTCATGCTGTGGAATCAGGACGTGAATACATCTTTCCTGGAGGCACAGGGAATTGTCATTTCAATAATTCACTTCCACATGGCCTGAGCACGGGAAGCAAACACATCCTATAAGGAGAAAAAAGATCCCAAAGCTAGGGCTAGAGGACTTGAGTCTGTGATGATATTTTTGGTAAAGGGCTATCTTTTGACATATTTTGTCCAAATGTCACATCCTTCCTTTTAGGGCCAACTAGTCTCTTTCCCATGCATACATATGCATGCTCCGTTCCTTTGAGATTAATACTCTGGTATTACATTCAGTGTGTAACTTAAGTTACTCCTATCGAACGTTGGCTAGTCTAGAGGCATGCTTTGATCCCTGGGCTGTGCTAGAGAGGCATCTCTCCCCTTCTGCTACTAGAGCTGAGGATTACTTGGTTTTGCACACTTTGTGTGTGGGTGCCCATGTGTGTGTACGCATGTGTGCGTGCGTGCGTGTTAGTGGGGCTGGAAAGGAAAAGGTCAGTTAGGGAGGAGAGTAGAAAAGCTGGGAGATGCTCTTCTATTGCTTCTAGATCATTACCGTGGCTTGTTGCCCTCAGCTATCATGGCCACTACCTTCTATTTAGTGCTTTCACTGTGCCAGCCACTTCATATACATTATTTCCTTTATTTCTTGTGTACATAGACCATCCTTCGACAAGGCTCGGTCACGTCAGTTCTGGTTCTCACTGGCCTCCTAGAAAGTCCTCACCTGCTCTGGGTTTCTGTGGGAGTCCCTGAGCAGTGTTCCATGGGCTCCCCCATCTGTTGGCTATACTCACCCCAGAGAGGCTCTTGTTTGTGCTTACTGGTGTGGGTACCTCCCAACTGCCCCTGCAAGGCCCACCATGAGAAAACAAGGCCTTGTGCTGAGGACCCTCTCCCTTTGTCCCATGATCGAGAGGTGCCAGGGTGGTGCTGGTGTCCTAAGGGGGAATAGGTGTTTTCTAGGAGACCTGAGCCATGAGAGCTTCCTCCCCCAAACTCCACCCTTCCTCAGGATCTCAGGGAGCCCTTCCTGGAAAGAGCCCTTCTTTTTCTTCTAAGAACTCCTCACCTCATAAAGCTCTGAAAACCCAATCTGTGAAGCCCATTTTACAGCAATTGTTGAGGAAGGAGTCAGCATAACATAATGGGTAAAAATGGGGTCCTGATGCGAGATTGGGGGTGAGCCTTGGCTTTCCCACTTTCCAGCTGAAGCTGTGGCTACATCATTTCACTACTCTGTACCCAGGTCCCTCTTTTTTTTTTTTAGATTTTTATTTATTTGACAGAGAGAGAGAGAGAGAGAGAGAGAGAGAGATATCACAAGTAGGCATAGAGGCAGGCAGAGAGAGAGGGGAGGAAGCAGGCTCCCTGCGGAGCAGAGAGCCTGATGCGGGGCTCGATCCCAGGACCCTGAGATCATGACCCGAGCTGAAGGCAGAGGCTTTAACCTACTGAGCCACCCAGGCACCCCAACCCAGGTCCCTCTTAAAGTAATCCGTGAACCAACCTCAGAGCATCATTACTAGTAAGCATTCAATGATGGATTCATGTAATTGTAAGTATATAGAGTAGGCCTGGCATGTAATAAATTCTTGAGAGATGTTAGCCATTATGAATTTTCCCTTTGTTTGACTCATCTGTCTCCCCTGTGGCCTTTTATCTACCATCTTTCCCAAAATGTCCTGTGCAGATCAACTGGTGATCTTGAATCCTGTTGGCCTGAGGGTTCTTCCATTTTATCGGACTCCTTCACACAGGTCTGAATTCCCTGGGCCCCACTCCAGTTACATGTGATAGATGTTCAGTGAATGAATGCACAGCTATTCCTGGCAGTTGGTGTTTTGGCTCTGCCATTTCTAGAAGCTTCCATATCCATTGTTTTGAGAGCCAGTCTCTAGTTTTTGCCTGTAGTGGAATCAGGATCTGGAGGGCTGACCACGGGAGAGGGGAGGAGGTTTGAGCTACCTGCAGGTGACACTGGTTATGGGAGAGGAACAGCCTCATTCCAGCTTCTCTTTACCTCATTCCCAGGCCTGTCTGCTGTTTGGCAAAGAGTCTACCTTCTTTCCTACTGGCAATCACCATGAGTCTTATTATAAACAATTTCTTAATAAGAATAATGACTTTGGAATCTGACAGAACTGGCATGACCTTGTGAAAGGTGCTTAATTTTCTAAGACTCAATTTCTCACCTGCAAAATGGGGATAATCACAGTATTTACCTCGAAGGTAATAAAAATACTAAGTATGCTTAATGTAAGGTGCTTAATATAGCATCTGGCACAATGATAAGCACTGTGGTGGCCATGACAGCCAATTGCCAATATTTCTAGCCCCTCCACCGACCTTGGGAAGCACCAGTGCTGTCCAATGGTTGTACATGGCTCCTGGCAATGTTCCAGATGGCGCCTGGTCTCTCAGTCCTGGAGTGAGTAGACCTGGGTTTGGAGGTCCAGCCAACCTGTGATGGCATGATAAACCTTTGCTGTTTTAAGCCACTGAGATTTTGGGGCCATTTGTCCACATAGCATCATCTAGCCTGTCATGAGAGAGAACGACACTACAGAAATACCAGTCAGTAAGTTGGTGAGAATTGTGCTGAACTTTGTATGTGTGGATGATGCTGAGGTCGAGCCATTCCTCATACCTCGTGCAGGAAGGTCAGAAGGTTTGAATCCTGCTGCTTCAGTCATGGGCTGGCCTCTAGCCACCTGGTCCCTCTGAGTTTAAGTAGCTTTGTCTGTTATATGGGGATTGGGTTAACCAGGGTTCTCCAGAGAAACAGGACCAATAGGTTTAGATCTCTGTCTCTATATAAGTCAATGTATCTCTCTATGTGTTTATCTCTATATAGAGCTCTAGAAAAAGATTGTGAGGGTTTGGCTTATGTGGTTATGGCGATTGGGAAGCCCCAGGATCTTGCCATCTACAAGCTGGAGGCCCAGGAAAGCTGTTGGTAGAGTTCCAGTCCAAGTCCGAGGCCTGGGAATCAGGGGAGCCAATGCTGTAAGTTCTAGTCTGAGTCTGAAGATCTGAGACCCGGAAGTACTGAGAAGTCAGAGATTCCAGCTCCAGCAGAGAGAAAACTCTCCTTCCTCTGCCTTTTTCTGTTCCGGCCCTTAGCTGATCAGATGATGCCCACCTGCTTGGTGAGGGCAATCTTCACTCTGTCTACTGGTTCGGATGTGAATCTTCTCTAGAAACGCCCTCAGAGACACACCCTGAAAAAATACCTAACCAGCTCCCGGGGAATCCCTTAGGCCAGTAAAGTTGACATGTAAAATTACACGGGAAGATCACAGATTTTCATATCCTTTCATATCTCACAAGGTCATTTTGTAAAAGGATAAGCTGTTTTCTGTGACAATGTTTTGTGCCCTTTAAGCCCTGTGTTTAATACTCTAAATCTTGGACGCAGGGTAATATTTGTCCTAGTTCTCCTTCTCTCTCATTCCCCAACCCCCTTCCCTATTTATGACCCACAGAAATGCCCTCACAGTGGCCACAGGAAGAGGGGAGTTTCCTTCTTCCTCTATGGGTTTCCGAATCACTGTACATGCCACCAGCTAGCATGAAGTCTCTCCAAGTGCACAGATAACCAGGAAATCGTTCCAATGGATGTGGAGTGGTTATTTGAACAGTGGGCTCCCCTTCTTCTTTTTTTAAGATTCTATTTATTTGACAGAGAGACAGAGAAAGAGGGAACACAAGCAGGGGGAGTGGGAAAGGGAGAAGCAGGCTCCCCAATGAGCAGGGAGCCCAATGTGGGGCTCAATCCCAGGATCCCAGGATCATGACCTGAGCTGAAGGCAGAGGCTTAACAGCTGAGCCACCCAGGGGCCCCAAATGGGCTCCTCTTCTGTTACTGCTCTTGTGAAGAGCTGGGCCTCGTAGGCCATCCAGCAGAATGATTCATCTTGGAGAAAAAGCCTCAAGCAGAAAATTTAAAATACTTCTGTTTCACCGTCCAAGGATAGGTACCTCTAAACTTTTAATGCAACAAAACCCTTTTGTTTTTAAGGAGCTCGTTTCTGGGTAGTACGATCTGTTGGAATCCCTCCTCTGGTGGAGAAAATACCGACATCTGGCCCGTAGTGTCCAATCTGTCGTTTGTCTGCTTAACTTCCCCTTGGCCTCTCCGAGACCCAGGGGCAGACTAACTTCTCCAAACTGCGTGTCCTCACATATTTGAAAGTGTTCATTTAGGTGACAACCATGACATATAATTAAGATAGAAAAAAGTAGGTTATGAACATTTCTTGGGAGGGGAAGACAGCGTGAAAAATGAGCGTGCCCCCCTAGCTTTTCAAAATCTGGGTCAGTGATCATAACTCTAATTCTTTGGTAAATTCAGACGGACTTATAAGAAGGTATATTTTTAATATTTCATGGTTTTTTTCCCCCAACTCCCTGTTCATTATCTCTAATGATGGCCACAGAGCTGTTATGTAGTGTTTTCATGTACTAAAAAGGCAGATGCCTTCCACTGTGATTGATTTCTCAATAGGTGTGCTCACTCCCGTCAGAGAAAGCAGTCCATATACCTTTCAGAACCCAACGAATCACAGGAAGACACATTTCCACCGAGTCTTAGCCCGATACTTCCAGCGGCAGACGACTTTCTGGAGAGTGTACGAGGAGCTGCCGTGGCACATGAAAATGAGCGGCTCCTGGGGTGACCTGTGCAGCTTCCTCTCAAGCCCCAGGTAAGTCACGTCCTTCTGCGCCGCGGCCTTGGAGCACATCTCCTCCTTCCTCTGCTGAGCGCGGTGCTGACACGCCCACGTGTCCCTTAAGGGGGGCTCCTTCATTCACAAACCCGGTCAAGCACCTGTGCCTTCCTTCGGATGGGCCCCTCCTTTGGCATCCCCCTTCTGTGGCTCACGGATTCCCAGCATCGCTCCGGTGGATCACCTGGCTCTCAGAGTGACTCCATGGGGTTCCTCTCAAAGTTAGGACAATTCCAGAGGCAGGAAGAGTTGTAGATGGGCTAGGATAAAGGATTGGCCACATTGTCCTGCTAGACCCTCTGAATTTCCTCCTGTCCCTTTCTTTCTTTTCCCTCCTCTCTACTCCTCTCTGTCCCCTCCCCCCTTGTCCTCTTATGCACCCCTTGGCAAACATGTATCCTTGACTCGCTCTGAATCCCAGCTCTTGTAGGCCCTGGGGATGCAGCTCTTGTCTGTCGGGGAGCATGTGGAGCCAAAGAAGAGCTACCCATGGGAGTCAGTGCTTCATTAGAGCAAAGACACAGAGCTGGCAAGCTTGGGAGAAGGAGGGGCTCGCTCTGCCTGGGAGATTCGGGGAGCCTGCCTGGAGGAGGTGGCCACCTGGACAGATGAGTGGCAATGGCTTTGAGTGCTTAAGAGTGGCAGGCTCACATTTATCTGGCGACCTATGAAAGTCATAGTAGTTAAGGAGTTTATAAATAGGCTGATGGAATGGGGCAGATAGCAGAATAGCTTCCCTTCAAGACATGAAATACAAAAATGACTTACATTAATATGTCGTGTTGTAAGTATCACAGACTTTCTATCAAAGATCCGAAACCCAAGCTTCTGGACAAGGCTGCACCTCATCTACTACTGGAACGTGTTATCAGAAGTTGGATATGATGCTGCTGAGGCCTACTTGTTCACGGTGGCCAAGATTAAAGTCGACAAGTGCCATAAAGTGAAGAAGAGAAACACACTCTCAGGTACTGTGAGTTGCTGTGGTTCAGTTCCATTTTACGGGGATGTAATGTGGCCAAGAGTGACTGCTCTCCTGTTTCCCCACATACTTCTGGTCATCCCAGCAGACCTCTGAGTACTCCTACCTGCAACTTAAGCCAGCCATTTCCGAAGATAGGAAATGGAGAAAGAGCATCAGTGTCCAGACGGCTCCTCTTTCTGTCTTGCTATGGCTGTTTTCCGAGGCTCCGTCCTTTGCATCTTCCTCTCCATTTTCTCATGGCTTCAAGTACACTCCCAGCATCTTCGTCTTTCTTCTGTCGTTCCAACCTTGCCCTCCTCTCCCAGCCGCACATGAGGCCCACCTCCTGCGGGCTCCAGGCAGTACTGTAGCTCCGCCAGCGGCGCTCCCCAGTGACCAGCCAACAGTTCAAACGAAATACATGCAAACCCTGAATCGTTCTAGATGTTTCCTCCGCACTTGTGCTTCTTTCTGTCTCCCTCAGAGGAGGGAGGGGCTCCTCTGTTAGGAGCTCATGCTGCCCCTAACTTGCCCACCCCGCGGCCCCTCACTCAGTCCTGGAGACACGCAGTTAGTATCGAGTATGGCCCCAATCCAGGTTGGGGCAGCTGTTCTTCGACGTGCTGCCTAACGGCTTGGATTTGGACAGCACTCTGGTCAATGTTTCTTCCCTTTGTGCTCCATACGAGGTCCCCTTGCCTGTGTCTCTTTCTCCCTTCATTTCCTGGCTTCTTAAACAGTGATAAGTTCATGCATCCTTCTAACAAGCAGTAACTGCGCACCTTCCCTGGGCCATGGGCTCACTGGGCGCTGCTGACATATCGCTGAACGAGGCCAACTCATTCAAAACTCGTTCAGAATGGAATCCTTGCTCCCAAGGTTTTACCATCTAGTGAGCATAAGGACAGATTCTGAACATTTGTCACATGCCAGCCGCTAAGTTAAATACCTTGATATGTATTTTGTTCAACTCTAAGAAAATCTCTGTAATACGACTAATATCTCGGTTGAAACTAAGGAAACGGAGTCTCAGAGAGGTGAGGTAAGTTGCCCAAGGTGTTCCAGATAGTTAGGGATGGATTTGGACTATGTTTTTTCCTGCATCCCTTTTGGTCCTTAACCGTGTAGCCTTTACCTGTATTCTTCTTCTTCTTCTTCTTCTCCTCCTTCTTCTTTTTTTTTTTAAATATTTACTTGAGAGAGAGAGAGAGAGAGAGAGCACAAACAAGTGGAGGGGCAGAGGGGGAGGGAGAGAGAATCGCAAGCAGACTCCACGCTGAGCACAGAGCCTGATGCAGGGCTCAGTCTCTTGACCCTAAGATCGTGACCTGAGCCAAAATCAAGAGTCAGATGCTTAACCAGCTGGGCCCCCTCCAGGCATGCTGTCGATATTCTTACTACCGTGTATGAATTATGTAATTCTGGAATCTCTCCAATTCACGAATCCTCTGGGCGGTAGGACCCAAGCGGTAGTCTGAGGATTCCGCTGTGGTGAATAAAGCCAGGATGCGTCTGGAATTGTATCGGTGCCTAGGGATGTAGGGCGTGGGAAGGACACAGGGGACGCGGGATGGTGCAGGGGGTTGGGGGGAGCGCTGTGTGTCATAGGAAGCTGGCAGCTAACCCCAGAAGATGAGATCTCTGGGGTGGGGGTGAGAGTCCTTCCTGATGATGCCATGCAGCTTGTCATAACGTGGTTGTTATGGTGATGGAAAGGGCTGGGGGCTGGGGGTTGGCTGGTGGGAGGAAATCACCTAACATTTCAGTGTGTGAGGATTTTCTGGATGTAAATGAGTCTAGTTCAGAATGTGTCCCTCTGAATTAGGCTGGAGACATCTTTAAGTCTCTGGTGATCTGCAAACATGCTGTTCGTATGATCCTGTGCTGGTTAGTCTCTGCTCACTCTGGGCCCTGAGACGCTCCTTAGCAGGGAGTCCTGGCGTCCATCACTGCCTTTGACACCTTCCATCTTCCTCACCCCTCATGTCTTGTCACAGCCCGGTCCAGCCTCTCGCATCCTCTCCGTCTTGGGCTCCAGGCCCTCATGCCCTCTGTCTGACCAGTCTTCATAAAGCAAAGCTGTGATCAAGTTACCCTGCACGTTGCTGCTGTCCACCTTCATGTCTTATCTCCACCTTGGCTGGCAGAGTCAGCCCATGGTCATTTTGCGGGGAGGAAGGGGGAAGGGCTTTGTGAAGTCCCTCTGGGACTGTGTAGGTTTACTTTTCCGCCTTTTGGAAGGCTGAATGTAGAAGTCACAAGACCAACGACTTGTCACCAAAGCAATAGCAGATTCATTGGAATGGGTTTAATTATAGCAGGAGTCCTATAATAGTCCCAGGAGGCATTCCACTGGTCTGGTTGGCTGTCTGGGCCCCCCAGACATTGTTTTTCCTACTGTGGTTCTGTAGCCACACACAGCCCTGAGACAATGGGGCCTCCTAGGGTGCTGCTGGAGGCAAGACCCTTAAACTGGAATGTGCTTTCAAAGGGGTTTTTGAGAAACCCTGTTTTATGGTCTGCAGTCTCAGGGGTGGCTTGCCAATCCAGCCCAGTCCTCCCTTCTCATAACGAGGTCTGGGCAGGCAGGCTTGTAATGATGACCAGCTAATGCTCGGAATCAGTCTGGCGGTGGTTGCTGAGTGCCTGCGTCGTAGTGAGCCTGGTGCTAGATGCCAGGGGTGCCACAGCCCACGGGACACAGGGTTCCTGCCGTGATGGAGCTTATGGTGGAGTGTAAAACAGACACTCCCGAGAAGTTCAGCCTGAAGGAGTGGGACATCGTGGTGGACAAAGGGCGGAGGGGACAGCATGTTTGAGGGCCACGAGTCGAGGGCGAGAGTGACAAACCTGAAGATCTGAGCAAGTCCTGTACCAGTACAAGAGAGCATGGGTAGGCTCGTCAGCCGGCCGGGGGAGTGGAAGAGTGTGTAAGGACTCTTTCTGCTGCAGGAGGTTGTGCTCCAGCTCAGGACCGGAATGCATGTCCTGCCTGGCTTAGGGCGCCTGCTGCTCGACTCTGTGGTTTGGCTCCCCCTGGTGGCTGTGACGAGAACCAGAGCCCTAACTCGTTCGGTTGGTGGGAAAGAAGATTCTGAGTCTGGACATTGCTTCTCCCCAGGTGCTTCCTGCCTGCCCACTTGCCGCCTGGGTTTGCCCCTCCTGGCGGGATGCATCCTGGCAAGTTAGTCTCTGACTGATGGCCAATAGAGAGGGCGTGGAGCCCACAGGACAACTTTGATGGTTGGCTCAATTTTTTTTTTGACTTTTTAAAAAGTTTTTATTAATAATTTTCTGTAACCAGTGACAGTATCTTAAATTCATTTTATTTTTATTTTTAAAAAATTTTTAATTAATTTTTTAATTTTTTTTAAGATTTTATTTATTTATTTGAGAGAGAAGATCACAAGTAGGCAGAGAGGCAGGCAGAGAGAGAGGAAGGGAAGCAGGCTCTCCGCTGAGCAGAGAGCCCGATGCGGGACTTGATCCCAGGACCCTGAGATCATGACCTGAGCCGAAGGCAGTGGCTTAACCCACTGAGCCACCCAGGCGCCCCTAATTTTTTAATTTTTAAATAAACATATAATGTATTTTTATCCCCAGGGGTACAGGTCTGTGAATCGGTTGGCTCAATTTTTATAGATTATCTGTGACATGGTAAGCTTGGTTTTGACTGGAGTCCTAGGTCACATCAAAGTGGAGAAAATCCATTTCTGGCTGCAGTTGCATTTTTAGACAAAGTCAAACACCAGAAGAGACAGACTACAAACAGATGTGGCAGAAGGATGGGTCCCAGCATGGCTTCATCTTGACAAATGGCTGGCTACCCTCCAGGTGGCAGATGTGGTGGGTTGGAGAGTATCATTTCGCTTTTAAGGGGCAGACTTTCTTACCAGTGCAAAGGGTAAATGCATTGAATTACAGGATCTTGTCTGCAGGTTGTAGAAAATGGGGCAATATCAGCTTTTCATGACTAAAATCGGATGTTTTGCCCTTGATGCCTTTGAAAACTTCTAAATATTTTAGATAAATGGAGCAAAACGATTTATTAAAAACAACTTTATTTTATTTAAAAAAATTTTTAAAGATTTTATCTATTTATTTGACAGAGAGAGAGAGAGAGAACAAGCAGAGGGAACAACAGATGGAAAGGAAGAAGCAGACTCCCCACTGAGCAGGGAACCCAACTCAGAGCTTGATCCCAGGATCCCAGGATCATGACCTGAGCTGAAGGCAGATGCTTAACCAACTGAGCTACCCAGGAGCCCCTATTAAAAAACAATTTTAAGAAAGCTCTACAGAAAAATGGAAAGAACAAAAGATGCAATTTTCAATAGCTACAGAAAATATAAAAAAATCTAAGAATAAATGTAACAAGAAATACGTAAGATCTTTATTTTTATATTTAATTTTTATTTTTTTAAGATTTTATTTATTTATTTGACAAAGAGAGACACAGCAAGAGAGGAAACAAAAGCAGAGGAAGTGGGAGAGGGAGAAGCAGGTTTCCCGCTGAGCAGGGAGCCCGATGTGGGGCTCTATCCCAGGACCCTGGAATCAGGACCTGAGCTGAAGGCAGACGCTTAATGACTGAGCCACCCAGGCGTCCCCGGATCTTTATTTTTATAAAACAGTTTCAGAATTACAGAAAACAAAATTTTAGTATATGGAGAGACATACCATTTTCTTGGATGGGACAACTCAAGGTTGTAAAACTACCAGTTCTTCCACAGTTGACTTGTGTATATAAAACAGTTCTAATTGAAATCTCAATGGGATTAAAACATTTCTAAATTTTCAAAATGATTTTAAAGTTCTTGGAGGAAAAATATCTGAGAGTGAGAGTTTAAAATAATGAGAGCAATTTGAGTATGAACTTATTTAAACCTGTTATGAAGCTGTAATAATTTTAAAAATACTACTGGGAGCCAAAATAGATAGCTCAGTGGAACAAAACAGAAAGCTCGGTTATCGACTCAGGTATAGATGTAAAAAATTTAGGGG